CCTTTGAAATATCAAATTCGGCAAAATCTAGATCGACCATGTTCATGTACGCTTGAGCCCTTTTGTAAAGTGCCTTCACGTTTTGTACTCTTGAGTTCCAACACCTTCACACACATTTTCATCTCTCTTTGACGTACTCACATATTTTTCGACCTTGAACAGCACGTAGCCTTCTTCCTCTTTCTTATTGACAACCTCAATCTTTTTTGGGTGTCCATATCCCAAGAAATCAAATGTTAGTTTTCAAAAGAAAAAATAGATAAATGAGTTCAAATGGGGAAGAAAGAGGAAAAATTACGAGAATACCATTCACTCAACTGGGAAATTGGATGAAAAGAACATTTTGCATAATCAAGTGTGTAATTAATGGTGAAAATGTCAAAAAAAGGGAAAGTATGGACTTTTCCACAATAATAGTCAAAGATATGAACATTATGTGCTCATTACCCCGTCTTAAAATGTGTATAAGAAAACAATTTATAAATTGAAACGAACATTTGACAAAATTCGGTTGATTTTGCAAGTAAATATGAATCACCTAAAAGTTTAAGACAACATTATCTATTTTAGTATATAAATGGCTAATTGGCACAAAGGATTCCTATTATATGGTAGCACTACAACTTCAGGACTTATTATTTGAATCTTTGCATTTGGGTCCCTATTTTGCATCTTTTTCTTGCAAAAATGGTCCCCACTGTCAATTCCTTCCACTTCCCCCGTTAAATGGGTCCGTGCCATAACATGATTTTTTAGTAAGGGTAATTTCGTCTTTTGATTTTTAACATCTCCCCTTCCTCCCACCCCACCCATCAAAGGGACACGTGTAGCCATCGCATAGGAAGTCTCACTTGCTAAGTAAACTTTCTTGGGGGGTGGGATGGGGGTTTCACTCTTTTCCAGTTTTCCCTATCAAATGACACGTTTGTCTTAGGGAGAGTGAAAGTGAAACAAATTTGTAATTTATTAGTCACTACTTTTTCTTTATTAATTTTCCTCTATTTATTGAATTATTGAGGAAATATATATATATATATATATAATTACTTGAGGTTTCCGTGCACTTGTGGGCCAATTTAGTTAAAGTACAACATAGCTATAATGCATGTCGCCTTCCTCTCCATAGGCTTTTATATACCACTTCCACTTGCCTCCACTCGATCGATCAATTGCAGACAACTTTCTATCTCTCTCTAAAACACCCTCTCCTCTCTCTCTATAAAGCATCACAATCCGTTGAGAAATTTCCAAAATAACAGATGGAAATGGGTGGTAAATCAATGGATAGTACGATCGTGGATTCATAGAAATATATATAGTTAAAAATGAAATTTGACAAATTTATATATGATTTATAAATTTTGCTAAATGGAGATTTTGATAAATAGAAAATATTGATAATGTATACCTTAATAAATCAAATCATACAAAGCCATTTTTTGATTAATATTTTAGTATTCAAATATAATAATATTCTGTCATTTTAAAATAATTGTTATTGCAATAATTTCAAAAATTTTAGAAATTGAATTTAATACTTCAAATTATTCCTTCAATTAATACTCAATATGTGTAAGAAAACAATTTAGAAACTGAAACGAACATTTGATAAAATTTGGTATGTTTTGCAAGAAAATTTGAATCACATAAAAGCTTAAGCCAACATTCTCTAGAGTATATAAAAGGGTTAAATTGCCTTTCGGGGCATAGATTAGTGGTGCAAATGATAAGAGTGATGTAGTCTCAATTAGTTCAGTGGTGCAAATGAAAGGAGTGTGGCAGTCTCAATTGAATTGGCAGCCGCAATGTGAGGGTTCAATTCCTACCTCTTACAAGGTATGGAATTGGACTCTTTGTAGGCACCAGTATGACAACTCCTTGTACCCTGACATATTGAGGCATATCTCGCGATTTACCTCCCCTACAATGCTCTAGGGGTGGGGCGGTGGGGGACCCTCAAGGTTGGGGTTCAACATTTTTTTTATAAAATGGTTAAATTCACCTATCACCACTGTAATTTATACTTAGTATCATCACGACCACCCAAATTAAATTTGATTCTCCATGGTCGATGTACTTTATATTTAATGTCACAACGACCACTGAAATTGATTTTGATTCATCCTATTATTACCCAACAAAAATGCACACACATAATTATTACAACCAAAAAAAAA